TGGGTCCATCTACTGCACACTGGTCCAATCCTTGAAAGAAACTGTCTCTTCTCATCCCAGAAGCCATTAGTTGACATTTCCTTAGGTCAGGTTGAGATTTCTTACCCACTTCCCCATGTCTATGCTGGGATTTTGCCTGGTTTGAGCTTACATGGGACTTGTGCATGCTGTTACTATTGCTGTGAGTTCATATGAGTAACTTACTAGCAGTCTGGAAAACTCTGTTTCCTTATGGTCATCCACCTCCTCAGGCCTTGTACAACATTTCTGCCCCCTCTTCTGCAATGACCCCCAAGCCTTGGGAGGCAGAGGTTTGACATAGGTGACCTATATCAGGGATAAGCACTCTGCAGCCTCTTGTTCTCTGCACATTGGCCAGCTGTGGGTCTCTGTGTTATTTGCTCTCTGTTGCATAAGGAAACTTCTTTGGTGAGAGTTGAGAGATGCATTAATCTATGGGTATAACAATAAGCCATTAGGAATCAGTTTAATATGCTAGAAAACTAGTATTAGGCTCTCTCCTATGGCCTGTGACCTGTCTAGTCTTGGGTTCCTAAGCCTGATATCAATGTCAGGTATAGGCTCCATCCTATGAAGCAGACCTTAAATCCAGTTAAAGAATGGTTGGTTGCTCCCTTAATATTTGTGCCACTATTGCACCAGTGGGCATATTTTGCCAGGCCAGTTGGGTAATTCACAGGATTCACAGCTGGGTAAGCTTGATGATTTTATTTTTTCCTTTGGGTAGCATGTATAGCACCTTCCAGCACTATGACCCCTAGCCAGTAGAGATGAGGCTCTGAAGTCAACACCAGCTTGATTTCTCCTTGTTTGTTCTATAGCTCATATGTGTAGTGTCTTCTGAAATATGGTCTTACCATTCAGTTCTGGTGGATAACCAAGAGCAAAGGCAATGGCGAGTATTGTCTAAGGGTCCATGGAACCCCTGATCAACAGTTTCCAAAGAGGGAGTCCATTCCTGGCATCAAGGTTTTTCTTATTTGTTATTTATTTATTTTAGTTAGCCTATGATGTTTAGAAGGGTCAAAGTCCCCCTGTTACAGTGTAACTCCTTTTAATCTCTTGTTATTTTATATACATATATATTTTTTAAAGAAGTTTCTATGTGGTAGGTTTGCATAAGGCTTTTTCTAAAGGCCTTTAGAGTTACCTATCCCTCCCCATGCTCCCTCCTCTGCTCTGCCCTCCCATCCCAACCCCATTTAACCCTTCCTACTCCTATGTTCCCTTTCTCCTTTCATCTCACTGCATTCTGCTACCCTCCCAGGTAGTCCCCCTGCCCATGGTCATTTATTAGTTTCTTGACCTCTCTGGATTTTCAAATTGAAATGTGTATATTTAAGCTTTCAAAGATAGCATCCAGCTATGAGAGAGAATGTGGTATTTGCCTTTCTGGGTCTGGGTTACCTCACTCAAGATGACAAGATTTAATGACACAGAGTTACACTCTTTATTAAAAAAAATTATTATTTTTATTTTATGTGTATGAGTTTTGCCTAATATATATAAATGCATCATGTGCATGTAATGCCAGCAGAGGCCAGAAGAGGATGTCAGAGTCCCTGGAACTGGAATTATGGGGTGGTTGTTAGATGCCATGTGGATTCTGGGAACCAAACCCATGTCCTCCACAAGAGCAGCCAGTGCTTTTAACTGCTAAGCCAGCTCTCCAGTACAACAATCTTTTATAGTTTATATAAATGACAGCACAACAGTATGAATGGTCCCCTCTAGACTTAGTCTTTGCCAGTTGCTTGGCTTTAAAAAACACATGTGCGTATGTGTGTGTATGGGCGGGGGGGTCAGAGGACCTCAGGTGTCATCCTCAGAAACACCAGCCACCTCCTTTGACATAAGGTCTCTCATTGGCCTGGATGTCACCAAGTAGGCTAGATTGGCTGACCAGTGAGCCCCAGAGATCCTGTCTTTGCCTCCACAGTGTGCACCACTACACTGGGCAGTTTGATGTGGGTTCTGGGGCTCAAACTCAGGCTTGTAAGACAAGCGTTTTACCAACTGTGCTATCTCCAGCCAAGGAAACCTAGGCCTAATTGTAATCTACTGAGCAATTCACGTCCACTTTTAGGGCCTCCGTTTCCCATCTATAAAACAAAGTGAATGGCAGTGAGTCATCTCACTAAAGCCTTAAGCACTGAAAACTACAAAAAATTAATTCATCAAAAAACAATCTTTGACTGGAGATACGGCTCACTGGGTAAGAGAACTGTCTGTTTTTGCGATGACAGGGGTTTGGTCCCCAGCACCCACATGGCGGCTGCAAACTGTAACTCCAGTTCCAGGAGATCCGTTTCTCTCTTCTGGCTTCCCTGGGTTTACATGCACATAGCACTTATATACATGCAGGCAAAACACTCATAAACATAAAAGTTTTTAAAATACATTAAAAAAATATATTAAAAAAAAATCTTGGGCTAGAGAGATGGCTCAGTGGTTAAGAACACTGGTTGTCCTTGCAGAAGATCCAGGTTCAAATCCCAGCACCCACATGGCAGCTAACAACTGTCCATTAATTCCAGTCCCAGGGGATCCGACAGCCTCTTCTGACCTCTGTGGGTATTGCACGACACAGGTGCACTTACCTACATGCAGCCGATACACGAATACATGTAAAATAAAAATAATAATAAATGAAATATTTTAAAAAATTTTAAATCTCATTTTATTACAGTTTAAAATTTTAATATTATACTAAAATTAAATTTAATATAATAATATTCATATTAGGCAAGTTTTTTACTTTTCTCCTTTAATAAGTGGCATTCTATTTAATTATAAATTGAATGTGAAATAAAGCATGGTTTGGGGGCAAGTTTTATAGTGACATGTATTGTTTTTAGTCTGGAGGCTGAAGTAGGTTAAAATTTAGAAAGATATTTAAATATGTGCTATGCTCAAAAATCAACTGAAACTATGTTATGTTTTCATGTTTGGTCATACTCTTAGTTAATAGTTTGGGGTGGCTGGTTTTTGTCTTTTTTGTTTTGTTGTTTTGTTTTGTTGGGTCAGGGTCTCACATAGCCCAGGCTGGCCTTGGATTCAACTGGCCTTGAACCCCTGATCCTCCTGCCTCCACCTCCTGAGTGTGAGGGTTGCAGGTGCACACCTCCATACCAGGCTACATTTATTTTTATACATAAGTAGAGATAAGGGAAGAATAGCAAACCAATTTCTGTGAGTACATCTATGCAACAACACTTGCTGATCTTGCTAGACTTTGATGACAGCGAACAGAAACCAAAGCTCTGTATGGTCTTCCAGATCTTTATCCTTCTAATGAAGAAATATGGGGTCCACCCTGATGCACCCACAGTCATGCTAAGCAGGCCAAGGCCATTACAAACTTGCTGAAAATAATCTTGAGGCGTGTTGACAAAATCATCACCATTTTCACACTTTTTGTTACTTGGATTTCAGCATCATGTTTCCAAAGTGTACTGTGGCTGTTTAAATCAGTCATGGAGGGGCTGGAGAGATGGCTCAGGGGCTAAGAGAACTGGCTGCTCTTGCAGAGGACCTGGTTTCAACCCCCAGCACCCACATGATAGCTAACGACCTTTCCTAACTCCAGTTCCAGGGGATCTGGTGCCCTCTTCTGGCCTCCATGGGAATTGCACAGCACAGGTGCACTTACATACATGCAGGCAATACACTCATAGACAAAAATAAAATTAATAAATGGAATATTAAAAATGAAAGTAAATAAAATATAAAAATAAAAAATAAATCAGTCATGGAAACAAAATTGGCAGTATATTCAACAGTTGTACACAAAGCAATATTCAGATGAGAGAGAAACATACCTCCAGAAGTTCCAAATAATTCTTTTTCTTTGAATTTATATATATATATATATATATTCATGTGCTGTCAAGTGTGTGTATGTGTGAGTCCATGTGTGTACAGATGTACATGTGGATGTATGTGTAGCGACAACCTCAGGTGTTATCCTCAAACACTGTCATTTTGTTTTTTATTTTATGTGTATGAGTGTTTTGGTGCATATAAGTACACCACATGTGTGCAGTGCCTGTGGAGGCCAGAAGAGGGCTCTGGGTTCCCTGGAACTGGAGTTACATGATTGTTAGCCACCATATGGGTGCTGGGAACAGAACTCCGGTCTTCGTCTCTTAACCAGTGCTCTCACCAGCCTGGAACTCACCAAGTACTCCAGGTTGGCAGGCCAGTGAACCCCAGGTGTCTGCCTGTCACTGCCTTCCCAACTCTGGGATTACAAACACATGCCACCAATCAGCTTTTTAATGTAGATTCTTGGAATTAAGCTCAGGTCCTCATGTTTGCTAAGCAAGCACTTTACCAACTAAGCTCTCTCTCCAACCTCTAAACATTCTGTTTAAAAGAGAAAACAGTTGGTTTGTTTGAGACAGATGTTCACTGTATAGTCCGGTGAACATAGCTTTTGCTCAATATATAGCCCAGGCTAGCCTTGACCAGGAAATCCTCTTGCCTGAGCCTCTTGAACACCGGGTTCACAGGTTTGCCCCACCACACACCTGCCAAAATAAATAATCCTGCTATTAATGTTTTAGATGGAATTGGACTAGACACATGAAAGATTTAAGATGCAATAGCTTCTGCGTATAGTCCCAGGAATGTGAGTGGTCCCTCCTAGCATGTGCAGACATTTTGTGTTCTAGCGAGTTCTGTCTAGTTTATCAGCAGTGGTTCGAGGGTGGTGCAGAGCGCTGCCTAGGTTGGCTTTTGTTCTCCTGGAATGGGGAGATAATGGGAGTTAGATGAGGACAGTGGGATATAATATTTATCGTTGGGACAATCCCAGTACATTCCGTTTTCTGAGTACCTACTATATTCCAGTTACTAGTCTCTAGACCAGGGTTTGGCCTACGGACCAAAACTAACCAAGTGCCATTTGGGAAGGTATGATTCTAAAGCTAAGAATAGTTATATTTTCATTTATTTATTTTATTATTATCTTTTAGAGTATGATAATTTAATTTCTGAGCAAGCAAGATGTTTCATCCAGTAAAGATGCGTGCTGCTAAGCCTGATGACCTGAATTCAATCCCCGGAAGAAGAGAACCGACTCCCAAAAGTTGGCCTCTGACCTACAGTGGCACCTGTGCCCCCATCCCCACACATACAAACTAAATAAATGTAAAAAAAAAAAATAATTCGAATGTACTTTTTGTTAAGTTGTTATGTCTGTTGAAAAACATATTGTACCAAATCTTAAGACAAAGGACATTGGCCATTAAGAACAAGGTCCACAGGAGCTGGAGAGATGGTTCACTGGTCAAGAGCACTGGCTGTTCTTGCAGCGGACCCAGGTTCAATTCCCAGCACCCACATGGCGGCTAACAACTGTCTGTAACTCCATTTTCAGAGGATCCAACACCCTCTTCTGACCTCCACAGGCATTGCACCACACTGGTGCACTTACATACATGCACACAATACTCTCACAAACATAAAATAAAAATAATTTAAAAAAAGAACGAGGTCCAGCCCAGCCTCCGGGACCCACTGCACTTACTGCTTTTCCTGTGTGTACTCTGCTAACTTTAAATCAAGATGTGATCCTGCTTTTTGCAGTTTTAGCATGGGGCTTCATTTGAGAAGGTTTCTTATATTTTTAAATGGTTGGGGAAAATCACAATTTCATGATACTTGAAAATTACTTCATACCCAAATTTCCATGTCTGTAGATAAAGTCCTATTGGAACACAGCCACACTCACTGGTTACACACTGTCTGCGGCTGCTGTCACTGTGCAGAGGCAGAGCTGAGCACCAGTGACAGAAATCACATGGCCTATAAATTCTAAAATATTTATTATATGGCTCCTTGCAGAAAAAATTTGCTGATCACTCTTCTAAGCGCTTGCTATGCATTTGACGGGAAAAAAAAAAGTGCAGTCTACCTTCAAGCTAGAGAGGCAAAGAATAAACAATAAACATCACTTGAAAAATAAAATAGTTAGTTAGAAGGTGGTGAGTACAATTTAAAAATGAAAGGTGACCAGGAAGGTGAAGCCAGAAGTGTGAGGTTCCAAAAGATAGCAGTGGACAAAACTGAATTTCATTTACAGAAAATTATTTATTATTTTTATTTTATGTGTATGAGTGTATTGCCTGCATGTACTTAAGTGCACCCATGTTATACAATGCCTGTGAAGGTCAGTAGAGGGCATCAAATCCCCTGGGACTGGAATTACAGGTGGTTGTTAGCCGTCATGTAGGTGTTGGGATTCGAACCTGGGACCTCTGCAAGAGCAGTCAGTGCCCTTAACCTCTGAACCATCTCTTCGGCCCCTGAATTACATTTTTATGCCTTCCCAGCCATAGCTAAAATCTCACTTAAACCTACAGAGGTGGTATTTTAAATCTAAAAACAATTTGCATGTCCCAGGGAATGTACTATGGCCATATAATCCAAGAAAATTCTTGAGGAAGGAACATGGGAGGAAAGTGGGTTGGGATTTTCACATCAAGGAACAGTGGTTGTCTACAGAACTGATTTAGCATTAGGATGCAAGATGTCAGCACTCTGTGTACTTTGTGTGTTTCTGTGTATATGTGTATAGAAGTGTGTGTGTGATTGTGTGTATGTGTCTGTGTCTCTGTGTATGTGCCTGTGCATGTGTCTGTATGTGTCTGTTTGTATGCATGTGGTTTTTTTTGTTGTTGTTGTTGTTCTTTTTGAAGCAGGGTCTCCCTGTAAGCCCCAGCTGTCCTGGAACTCACAGAGATCCGCCTGCCTCTGCCTCCCAAGTGCTGGGACTACAGGCGTGTGCCACCACGCCCAGCACATGTGTTTTTGTGTATCTATCTGTGTGTGTGTGTCTGTGTCTCAGTGTGAGTCTGTGTGTGTGTTCGTTTTGTGTATCTGTGTGTGTGGTACATGCATGTAGATATGCAGGAGCACACATCTGTGTGTGTGCATGAAGACAGAGCAGAGATGGGGTCTCTCGCTGAACCAGAAAATTTCCTTTTTCAGTTAAGCAGGCTGGTGGGCAAGCTCCCAGAATCAGTTGTCTCCACCCCTGAATGGTGGGGTTATAGGCATGTGCAGCCATGCCTGCCTTTTTATATGGGTGCTGGGGATTCAAACCCTGGTCTTCATGTTTACAGAGCAAGCACTCTTACTCACTGAGCCATCTCCCTAGCCCCTTGGTGGCCTTTTTGAGGACAGGCAACTTGAGATTTAATTGTGTCCTCTCTCCTTTACCATCTGGGCACCTGGGCAGCCTCCAGCAAGCCAAGAATCAAGCCTTCTGAAACTCTACTTTGCCCCTTTGGAGAGGGGAGACAGCCATTTGCTCATCCTAGGCAGAATGACATCATTTCTAGTAAGAGACTGACTCTGGGCCTGGAGAGGTGCTTAAGAAATGTTTGCTCCCTTCCCTCACTTTTAATCAAATCTAAGTTCTTGGCTCCCAATTAAAGATTTCAGAAAGTTCCCTTTAATCTCCTGTTAGTTTTTGAAAAGCCCCAAGCCAAGTCAACCCAGACAAAACAAACAGCAAATGACGAAAAGAAATATTCAGGGTGTGATGAGATTCCCCTTCCTCACACGCCCCTACCTTCAAATGCTCTGCCTGTATTGTGTGGTTGCCAGATACGTTATTGCTCATATATTTCTCTTTTATACCTCTCTGACAACCCTTCCACCACTACCATCAGTTTTTTTCTCTCTGTTGATTCCTCTTCAACCCTTAAGTGTTCTGTGATGCTGTTATTTGAGTCATCCTTCAGTGGCTCTTAAGACATAAGAAAAAGGCTAAATTAAATGTCAGAAGTGACATGGATTTTCTTTGATAAACTGTACAAATAACTACTTTTTTTTTCTTTCATAGGGTCAAAAGAATGGATAATAAATTTGGAGCTGTGTTCCTCTTAAGTTGGCCTTGTTTGTGGTCATTATTTTGAAATATTTATAAAATAGTTTTGGTCTTTAAACTCTCTCCCCCTCTATGTTCTCAATGAAATGAAATGGAAACAGTTGTACATTTTGGTCTTTTCACTGTTGGCCCTTTAAAATTTATATATTGTTATATAGACGTTGAAATATTATTGTCATAGAAGTATTAAGATCTATGATACAGACTTACAGCAAGTGAAGGGTTTGTTATGTTTTTCTCATTCCCTGAACGGCGCTTCACTCAGCAGCAATCTGCACAAATGAAGGAGTTGTTTCTCTCAGGCTCTCTTTCATTGCCTCCTCCAAACTGTCTCTCCGTCTTCAAGGCACAATTAAAACGTGGAGGTCTGATCGTGAAGAGAGAGGTGCAAGGGGGTGCATCACCCTCTCACTAGACCCCCCCTAGTTCTCATTCTTGACACTAATGAAATCCCACTTAGGGGCTAGGGATGTGGCTTAGTTGGTAGAGTACTTGTTTAGCATTTGTGAAAGCCTGAGTTCAATCCCCAGCACCCTATAAAAACTGGGTATGATGGTGCATGCCTGTGATCCCAGTACTTGGGAGGAGGAGGCAGGAGGATCAGGAGTGTAAGATCACCTTGGCTACATAGTGAATTTGACTTTCACATACATACTGTATCACACCCATGCCAACACACACACACACACACACACACACACACACACACACACACATTTTTTTTACAATTACTACATTTAAAAGCTGAAAAAAAAAACCTTTTTGTTGTTGTTGTTGTTGTTGTTAAAAAGAACCTTAGAAGCTGGGTATGGTGGCACATGCCTTTAATCCCAGCACTCAGGAGGCAGAGGTAGGTGGAGCTCTATGAGTTCAAGGTCAGCCTGGTCTACAAGCCAGCTGGAGCTACAGGGAGACATGCAGCTGTTGACTGACTGTAATGCAGACCCTCTCTTAGTTGGATCAGAAAGCTGACTTTAGATTCTCTACACTTAGGTCTTGTGTTTGTAGCTCTTCATGGCTTAGTAAGGTGGGCCGAGTCATAGACCAAGTTCAGCAGCATCAGCATCTTGGGAGCTTGTAAGAACTGGGAATGGTCAGACCCCAGTCATCTGCTCCAGAAAGGCCCCTTGTGGGGATTCTGCTGTGTGTTACAGTTTGGGATGTCACACAGATATTCTGCAGCAGAAAGTGAGTAGGGAATGAAAAGTACCAAGACAAAGGACCTTCCTCCTCTGTCATTTTACCCCAGACCTTCAATTTCCTCCTAGTCAAAAGAAGATCCAGCAGTGAATTCATAGCCTTGCTGAGAGAAATAAATGATACTCCATTGGAAAGGTAACATAACAGAAAGCCTAATACACCTCAGAGTCTCAGAACACAGTCAGGGCCAGGCTCAGCAGGTAAAGTGCTTGCCTCTAAATCCTAGCAATCTGAGTTCAATTCCCAGAACCCAAGGAAAGGTGGATAGAGAGGGTTGACTCCTCTGACCTCCATATGTGTGCTGTGGCCTGTGCATGACCACACATCACACACACACACACACACACACACACACACACACACACAAATAATAACAATTTTAAAATAAGTTCATGTGTTAGGGACTCATTTAACACAGTAGTAGATGTCTTCAAATATCAGTGAATATGGATTCTATTCATTTGAGAATGGACAAGTTCAGGGTAAACATTCTAGACGTAACACTTTAGACATAAGACATAAACACTTTGGTTTCACACTTGTAATCTCTGCTATTGAGAGAGGCTTTGTGACTTGTTCAAGGACACAGAACTATACTCTCAGTATCTAAGAGTGTGCTACACCCCTTCTGGGCCCTGGGTCTTCAATCAACATACATTTATCTGTTGCTTAATGGACTGATAAGATTTCTAGTTGTGGGTCTGGTGATTAGACATGTAGAGATTTCAGATTAATATAATGTCTGATTTAGCTTTATTGAAGTCTGAGCATTCCTACTTAGTACTGGGCACCCTGATTTTTTTTCTACATTTCACTTGCTTGGTTATAGCCCACTGTGTGCTGAAATAATTTAAGGTGACCCTTGGTGTTTTTATCAACAGCTGGAGCTCTCACTGCTTTGAGACGTCCTGTAACCAATGAAGTCCAGTGTTGTGTTCTAGAACTATACCAAGAATTTCTCAGAAAAATGTGCACAATTTGACAGTTCCCATTGGATGCCATGTGAGATGCTGCAAGAGTGTGTGCTTAGGTTAACTGTGTGAAATACTGCAAGA